ACAGAAGTGTGCGTGCTCTCTCTCTCTCCCTACCGTTAAGTAACTTGTGCATTGTTTTACTTACTTGTTTTTGACCTATCTGACCGAACTACAAACTTTCCAGTGATGAGAAAGATATATTCACTCGACAAGCTCGCGCATCTGCACTGCCGCGCGCTCAATCCACTCAGCGTGCTTTGTTTATCAGCTCACGCACATCAGCTATACAGGCGTTAATACTGAATGTTTAACATTATATTCATTGCATACATATACTTCATAGTAGACATCCTTAACTCCTTTCTGCTGTCTGTTGTTCTGTTGTCGGTGTTTCTTTGTTTGAATATGGCGCTTATCACATGCTGTGTGGTATCGGCGTTTGGTATCGGGGCATTTTAACGAGTACGAGTACAGGAGACAAGTATCGGGCCCGATACCAGTATCGGTATCGGTGCATCCCTACTTGATATCATAAGTGATCATTTACTCACCCTCATGGCAATCCAACCAAATCTTTCATGCATCAAAATGTACAAAAAGCCATTGTAAAAATATTAAGCTAAGCTGTGCTTGCTCATTTGACCATTTTTGATGTGCTCAATGTATGTGCATTGATTAATGTTTGTGTGAATAAAAACCTAAAATAAATCCGTTCAAACAAAGTAGTAATATTTAAAATAAAGTAATTGTGTCTCTTCAGAAGACTTGGATTAAACCACTTAATTCAAATGGATTACTTTTGCAATGTGTTTTTGTAGTTTTTTATTCATGAAAGTTTTGTTGGCAAGGACTTTCAAAGGACAAAAATTATGAGTGAAAAGTTTTGGATGAAGTGTCCCTTTAAATTTAACAGTTCAAATCCCAATATTTGTCAAAAATCTTAAATTTGACTAAATTGTGCTGTCGTAGAACACAGATACAGCCCAGTGTGCTCTGGCACCAGTGGTATACTGAAGGGGAAGTGGATTGAGAGAGAGGGCGGCTGAGAGTTTTAATGGAACTGCCTCTTCCTCTTCCCCTCATTCTCTAGGTTTTGCTATTAAGCACTTAAAATTGTGTCAGTAAACCCACCGTGCATGACTACTTTTCACTTGACTTCTCCCACAAACATCTCACATAGTACTTGGTGTGACATTCATGTATCGATCTTGTTATTTCCTCCCTCTCTCACAGGGATCGAGTCGCTCAAGCAGGCGACCCGACGCTACGCCCGAAAACAGAACAAATGGGTCCGCAACCGATTCCTCAAGAGTAAGTCTCACTGAATATACACTCTTTTCTAAGTTTGGGTGCTGGTGTGGTGTAGTGGTCAAGTTCAGAAGCCAGCTTATTTGATCCCCACAAGGTACCAAACTGCAGGTTATTCTAGCCATAATATCCCTGGAATAAATTCATGGAATGGCATTGCATGAAACCTTTAGTGTGACTTCTCTTCCCCTTTCCATCCTGTTGCTATTGTTTGAGAGTTTAATGGTCTGTGAGGTACGGTCTCTGCTGCTGGATGCTCCGTAACACCACAGCTGTGCTTGTTCAGAGTGCATCGTAGCCACTGGCTTTAATTTGGATCACACTTACTCTCACAGGAATTGCAGTCACAGTTCACTCATCTGAGATCTGTATTCATTGGTGCGCATTACATGTTGGCTTCACTCTTGGCTTGTCTGTTGTATATTGGCTTCAGTCGCCCTCAGATGTTACTGGAGCTGTGTATGTGTGTCTTTTTTTCGTTTTCTTTCAGAACGGTCCAATGGTCAGGTAATCACAGCCGTTTTAACGAGATGGACTTCACACAGACCATTAAACACACAAACTGCTGTGTAGAAATACAGTGTGTGTGTTTGAAGGCTACCCCTCCCTTACAGACAATCTCAAAATTCCAAGACTCAGAGTTCAGTATTTACCGGCCTTGGGTTGATAAAAGATCAAATGCTTGTAAAGCTTGGGTGTTTCAAGACACGGTCAGTCTGAACAGTTTGTACCTTTACTTCCTAACAGACAACAGCCGAATCAGCGAACCCGTCAATGGATGAACAGCTGTGTGTGTATGTGTGTGCTGGTGACATCAGGGTGTGAAGTTTATCTAGAGAAAGGAAGTGAAGGGCACTTCAAACAAATGGAGAATGTACAAGTGAAACACTGTTAGTTGTTCACATAATAAAAGCTGTAAAGTTAAAAGGCGGGTGTGTATGTGTGTGGCACAGGGGACGTTCACACAGGTTGTGTTGTGTTTTGGTTTATCTTGTATACAGAAACAGCTAGACAGAATGGGACAAATACAGAACGCAGGAGTCCCAAGGGTGGGTGTGTTAAAAGTTAAACTAATTTTAACTTGTTGCTTATGGAGTGAGATGCTGAAAAAAACATTGAGGTGTGGCACAGTGGACTGTTTGATACATATGTATGTAGACCGAAAATGTAAAAAATAGTACAGACAGAATGCAATAACTCATCCTGTTTATAGAACCTATACAGGAATAATTCACCCAAAAATAATAATAATTTTGTCAGACAGCATGTTGTTCCAAACCTTCCTGACTTAAACTCAAGAACTTGTACATTACTTCTTTTTTTTTTTTTCTGGTCCAACCAATTCATTGAAGAAATTAGACTTAAAAGAATGATTTGTTCATAAATTGGACATTGCTACTTCTAGCTAAGTAGAGCTAGGGCAAATGTTAAGATTTTCAGTTAAATGCTACTTAAATATTGGTCTGTTCTGCACACAAAACTCCACTGTATGGCTTCAGAATAATTTAAATGTGGATCACTTTTCATTATATTAAAAAGAGTGGCCAAGACATTTAAAAGAAAATGTGGAAAATTGTTTTCCATGAAGAGTCATATAGGTTTGGAATGACATGACATGACGATTTTCATTTAAATATTCATTTCTTCCACTTCTCCTCTTTCCGGTTCTTCACGTACCTTACTCTGCTTCCTGTAAGCACTTCAGTATTGACCAAACCAATGTCTTCGATTTACCTTTGATTTCCACTAAACAAGTCCATGGCCTTCATTGCCTGGACTGTTCCTCCCAACATTATCCGGGCATTCCTTTGGACTCCGACCCCTGTTTCTGAGGATCCTGGACTGGATTAACCCTTGCTCCCCATCCCTACAGAGACTACCAGCAATCCTGTTAGCCCTAATGAGATTAGGCAGAGACAGTGGCTAGCCCTCATTAAGAGTAGTTTTGTGTCCCGCCATATGCGGCCGGACCCTACACACAAAGGCAGCATTAGGTGAGATGTCTTTGAATGTTGCCTTCCTCCACGGCCTCTCCTCACCTCATGAGTTATATGAGGAGGAGCCTTTTGGTCATCATCTTCACCAGATGATCTCTGTCACTTTGATCAGTGATCAATCCTGTAGTATAGTAAGTTTGTACTCCATCTATGCAGTATACCAAGCATTTTGCCATCCTAATTACATCAGCAAATAATAAGTAGCAGGCAAAATTTCTCTCTAAATTTCCTCTTTAGCCAGTCCGTCTGAAGGCAGAGTTCCAGGCCATATTCCAGACCAGCTCCTCCGAGTTCAAGTCCATGCCGAGTCCACATGCTCCTGAAAATATGGTCTTGAACTCGAACTTGAGACAGATTTGAGTCAGAGTCTGGTCTTATCTGGAGTGAGTGCTACAACACTACTATTAGGTTTCTAAGAACCAACTAAACTTGGGTCACCTCTTTGTTGCCTTACTTGGGGTTCAACAGGCCAGTCTGTCTCAAGTCGCAACTCTAGGTTGTTTCGTCCTCGTTGAACCCCTTGTATCCATCACCACCACCAGGGCAGGACTTAAATGGCCGGGGGGCCCTGGGCTTGAGGTTATGTTTGGGCCCTATACCTATACACAACAAATGCCCTCAACTAGAACATCATTATGGAATAAAATACACAAAAATGTAAATATGCTTTGAGGTTTATATATAGTACAATTAATATGCAACATGTCTAGTCTAGTCAAAGTTTAGATGTAATATTAAATCAGTTGAGAGATCAAAACCCTGAAATTACACTGAGCAAAAAAAAAAGCCAGAGATGTATTAGTATTATAAAACTTTATTGTCATATCCGTGTCCTCTTATGTCAGATTCTTAAATTTAATCAATAAATTCAATCAGAATAAAAAGACATGTTGGATGTTAACATGTCTTAACATCCATAGATGGATTTTGCATAAATTAAGTTTAAATATAACATTTAATTGTAGAAATATTAAATTATTGCAAAAATTAAATGATAAACTACTTTTTTTTTTTTTTTTTATATGAATATTTGTACTATATCATAGGCATATTTTATAAAAACAGAAACTCATTAAATGGCTATTTTTATTTATTTATTTTTGATCATTTTGAAGACATTTCTGCCCACTATGGGTGATGGGAGTGAGACCGGGAGAGAGCACTGAAAACTCTTCAGATCGCATAATTTAGTGGAACATTAATATAATATACTGTACAATTGTCCTCTGTAAAGAAATTAGGCATGAACATATGAGAATTTTATCACTATCTTTTGGGCTAAAGGCTTAATGGAGCTGTTTAAAGTAGCCATGTGATCAAATTAATTGGCACAGATGCATTTCAATACGTGTGTCCTCCTCCTGTGTGAAATACCGTATTGACCCGAATTTAAGACGATGTTTTTTTCTTGGAAATACATCTAAAAAACGCGGTCATCTTATATTCAGGGTCTAGACTTTGACATGTCAATAATACACCCACAACAATAGGTGGCGCCAAATACGCATAAAACGGGTGTGCCGTGAAATACGTAATGTAATGCGTGTTGTAAAGATCACGAGTAAAAACTAAAGAAAAAGAAAACCTTACAGCTGCATGAGTTGTGACTGTCACGTTAGCCTGATGGGACCAAACTCCCTTTGTGATTTTAAAACGTAAGACAGTACCCAGATTTGAAGACTACAGTAAGATTTAACTTCTACTGTTAATAAGATTTTGATAGCAAATACGGTAATCATAAATACCAGTTTATGCTGTTTGATTATGGCCTCGAAGGTCGTAGTTGGAAGCTGTTAGCCTCGGCTGGCCAGTGGAAATATGGCTAATAATTTCTGAGTGGCATATAACTGAACAAATCAAACAAACGTAAATGGGGAAAGGCGGGGCCCATGGGCTGCAGCCCGGTCAAGCCCAATGGTAAGTCCGGCCATTCCCACCACTCTCCTACCCTTTGCTGGACTCTGCGAAGGGTCTGACTGCAGACATGCACATGCACTCTCAGACTGCACTTCCGCAAGTGACGTCACTTGGAATCTTTTTTTATTTATTTGTTTATTATTATTATTATTTTTAATTGAATCTCTCAACATTTTACAACAGTAGCCGGGTGGTAAAGACAAGAAAAAAAAGAAAAAAAATTACAATGTCACTTGCAGTCGCCGCCTGCACTCTGAGCTACCTGCGACATCACTTGCAATCGACACAAATCTTGCGTGCTGCCAATGGAGACGAGACGCTGTAGTGGTTAAATTATTAAAACTTATTTAGTACTATAACGTACAGGGTCCTGTAAATCACGTGAAGGAGAGAAAGACAAGACCCACACATCCATGGCCACAGAAAAGCAGAATATGAACGCAGTGCGCAAAGTCTCTCGTTAAGCATTTTCCATACGTAGAAAACCATTAACACTTTATATGGCTTAATGCATAAGACAGTGATTTTAAAATACCAAATTCGATATATCTTTTTTCGTGTCTTCACCACCTGGCTACTATTGTAAAATGTTGAGAGTTCAATGTATTGACCCTATTGGGACTCTGACCTGCTTTTGGTCTGGTTAAGCTCCTGTGGCTGTCTGTCAGTGGCCTAACTGATCCCTCCCTCCACACCCCACGCATCCCAGGGCCTCATGGGGCCCTCAGCTGACCGGTTTAATCCTGCAGGCATTAGTGCACTGCTAGGAATTCAGATTGGTGGCAGGAGGTTGGAGTCTGTGGTGTGGCCCCTTGGGGATAAGGACTGTGGGGTCATTGAGAGCAAACTTGGGTTCATTGTCCTCCTGGCCTCTATGGGGAAATCAACAATTCCTCTTTCATTTTTCAGTCAGTGTTTTTTCATTTGTTCTCTCTATTTATTTGTGAATTGCGCTCTAAGGTGCTATGTATATGCCAGTTTGGTATATTGATTTTGTTGGCCCAAGAAGGGAACATTACTCTGAGCAGTCAAACAATTTTTGGAAACGAAGTTCTTATGATGTGCCACCCTTATTAAAATCAATTGATTTGCAGCCATTAGCCTGCTCAAATGTCAGCATGCTTCCTTGTAGAGCTGAGCCCATTTTGAACCCTACTGTTGACAGTGTAACAGCTGAATTCGGGATTAGGGTGAACCTGAGCTCCATATATCCCTGTGCTTCCCCAGGGAGATTGGGCCGAGCAGCTTGGGGGGTAACCGTGACAACGGCTCAGTTGACGGCTTGGGAAGGCAACGTGAGTATTAAATAACAGTCTCTTGCCTTTTGTCAACGATAGGGGAAACCTGAGTGGGATGCGCGACAGGTGCGACATAGAAAAGTGTCCCCTTACACTCTGCACACCTCGGGACACACCCCGCACTCCCTAAAATACATTCCCGCTGCAAGACTGCTGCCAGCGTATAGATGAAGATTGCCACGTAATGTATAAACAAGTTTAAATGAGATTAAGGGATGAGAGAAGAAAAAACACAGCTGCTGATGTGTTGACCTGGTGGCTGCAACCTACAGCTGGAAGTCTGATGATTACGCTTTGTGGCCATTTAATTTCTTAGCACTCACTTCCTGTTTGGAATGTCCAAAGATGACTGACAGAGTCCTACAGCTGTCCAGCATTGCAACAGGTGTCCTGTGCTGAAATCCATATCTACTTTCGTCCTTTCTTGCCCTAGGCTCTCTTATCACATAAACAGCAGCAGGTGTGACTGCTCAGTGAGTTTCCTTATGCCCATGACTTCAGAGACTCTAGAGGATCTGCCATTTGGTGAGCGAGGGGTCTTTTCAGATTTTAAAAGACGCCAGACGTACGGCTGCCTGCCGTGGGTGTGCTGGAGAGGCGCCGCCTCATTGAGGCAGATAATTGAGATCTCTGTGCTTAGAAACCCTTGTTCTCTTGTCTTTTCCACCATTCAGGTCTGGCAAGATTACTTGACTTGAATTTCACTGAGATTTTAATTTTGGGCGGGAGGGAAAGACCTCCGTTCAGCATCTGTTTACCCCCAGATGGCCATCGTTGCCCTGTTCCCTCTAATTAAATTATCCCAGAGAGAGAGATGGAGAGGGAGAAGTTTAAAGAAGTATGTAAAGGTACAAAAAAAGAAAGTCCTCCACTCCCCACATGTCTCAGGTAGGCCAGGAGTCTCTGTGCAGGCCCACCTGCTGCCGCTCTTTTCTGATAAGCACAATAGCAGACATAAAGACTGCATAACTTTCTTTGATTAGAAGCGACTGCAAGCAAGAGGCAACAAGGTTTAGTTTGGGCTAAAGAGATGCTTTACATCAGCTAAGTGGGACGCTGGGTTGTGTGTGTGAAGGAACACCTGTGTGTTTGATGCCAATGCAAAACATGTACAGGCAAATTAAAAGGAGTTAGTCCTATAATGCTGTTTGTATCTCGTTTGGTGCATGAAACATTATCATGATCCATACTTTCAGTTTTTTGCTGGGAGATCTTTGCCGAGTTGGAAGTAATGGATTTTGATTTATTTAAAAATTTATATTTGGTGAGTTTAAAGGGGTCATATGATGCGATTGCAAATTTTCCTTTCTCTTTGGAGTGTTACAAGCTCTTGGTGCATAAAGAAGATCTGTAAAGTTGCAAAGCCTAAAGTCTGAAATCCAAAGAGATATTCTTTATAAAAGTTAAGAGTCAGCCACGCCCTCCTAAAACGGCTCGTTCTAACACGCCCCCACGTCTACGTCACGATGTGGGAAGATTTGCATAACGCCACCCAAATGTTCAC